TTACGTACAAAATTGGTTGTTTGAACATATCTTTTCCATCATAAATATCTTAAATTTATGTTAGAATATGCTACAAGTTTTGTTCAGGAATGACACAATCAGTTGTAACTTGATGTAAACAATAATAAAAAATAAATATCCATTTTGACCCCTCACCTTTTTTGTCAAAAAAGAATTGTAAGAATAACATTTTTATTTTTTATGAACGTAATTTTTTGAACTCCAATTCCCCTTTTCAACAGATGTTTACTACCAGACTGCAAAAAACGATACGTAAATCGTACAGTTAAGTTTGTAATTGAAGATTTAAATTACAGAGATACAATTGTACAAAAACTACAATTTATTTTCTCTTCTATGTTTATCCTGTTTTTAGTTGAATTAGTAGAATTTCTGTTCCGTGAACTTCTAAGTTGAAAATAATCAAATAACTTGTCCAAAAAATTCATTTCAAAGGAGATGATCGGGAGGTTAAAATTTCAGGAAATAACACTTATTTATTAGGTTTATGTTTGCATTTGTGTTTGTTTCTTGCATGTATAGCTGATCCTATAAGTTACATGTCAAATTTGAACTGTTTAATTCGTTTGCAAGGTAATCAATTCGCATGAGATTCACAGAAAATTGTATTATTGTTAACATACAATATAACTGATACTTTTTGTTTCAGACAAAATAATTAATCCCGCTGTCCTTCTCCGGTCTACATAAATGAATATTCTGTTTAATAATATTATTAAAATATTATTAAAACAGAATTTATAAACATATGATTTTTCGACTCGATATAACTTCCCGATCTTGCGAAATTGCACATAATGAGAGGAACAACAGTCAATAAATTACATTTCCGTGTTTCTTTATTTGGATTCTGTCTACTTTGTTCAATCTTGACTTTTTTTTTAGTCCATTTTATACGTTTGTAAGTCTGTCTGAAAATATTGATGAACAAAACAAGGTAGCTGAGGTACGTCGCAGAAAGTTTGAGATTAAAAGTCATAACGTTGTATTGAACTTGAGCTATTTGTATGTAAGTAATAGTATGCTGAAATGGTTATAACGTTACCCCAAAATATTTGTACTACCTGGAATACAGTTAGCGTTATTGCGATTCATTTTGATAAATAGAATTTTATTACTTTCGAAGCATAATAAGATATATGCAAGAATGTATAAAAAATGTTTACTAAACTAAACCAACTATCAGATCCTAAGGTTCCCATATAAGGGAGCCGTGTATTAAGAAAAACTATTATGTGATGGTATTAGTGTAAAAATACCAATTATTGTTATCAGAACACAGAGTCGCAAAATTCTTTGAAGTTTTCGTCAAAGTTGAATATATTATTAACATAGTTGACTACATAGATACACAAATGTGTAAGTTAAATTGAATATATAAGTACATAAAAGTAGTTAGTTAGTGTGCTCACTTGCACATGGACTGCAGTTGTACGTTGTATTTTGAATTATTTCACTGCTGCTAGTCTGTTGGATTGAAGGAGAATGTAATTACTGACTGTTGTTATTTGATATTCAATAGCATTTGAATTTGATTTCATTGAATCCATTTGTATTTTTTCCAAACACTGAATGAAAATAATTTTATTTGTATTTTTTCTTCAAAAATTGAAAGTAATAGAGAAGGCATTTATTATTTATTTAATGTCCGAAATTCTATAACAGACAGCGATTCAATTTTGATGCGTAAAAAAAATGTAAAAGTTGTTGAACAATGACACAGGAACATTGAACAATTGTGCTTATTTGGTATAACCAGAGTGTTATTACTAATGTCCCTCGAATATTTCGAATGTACATTGCTCGCAATATGTTAATTTCATGCAAATATAATAGATATAAAAGAAAAGTTCAGAATTACTTGTCCTTCTAAAGAAATTTGTTGTCTTAAATTCATCGCGGACAACGATTCTGTACTGACACGTCTTACAATACTTCTATTACACTGCATGGTGGTTATTTTCGCTGATCCGCGGGTCCGTTTATTATATGTTCCGAAGAAAATTTAACTGTTGACCATTAAATATTCTTATAGGTAAAGATCCTGATGCCAATTTCTTTTCAATTTTATTATCCCTATATATCTTATACATATTACTATCGTAATATTTCTAATTATCCTAAATAATAACTTTATCCTACTACTATTGAATTATAATAAATTGCGATTGTTTATACACAAATATTTTCATAGAAGCTCGATAAAGATATTGGAATTTTAGTGTAAACGAAAACACGTGAAATTTGAACTTAACGTTTTTGTCAAGTTACCAACTGTCCGCTTACGACAAGGACTATTGTCCTAACAATAGAAGCAAAAAAGTGTACCATTCACGAGGGGAGACAACAGTCAGTTAGTGACCAACCTTTGGGAAATACATATATACATTTTAGAAACAGCTGTTAGTTTTTGAATTTTTGGCATACACGTTTCCTGCGTGTCCTCTCAGAACAGAAATTTATTAATATTTGAAAATTATTTATCTATATATACCAAGATATATATTATAACTTGCATATTTTGCATAATTTCACATGCATTTGTATGTATATTATCTGAAAATTTATTAAGCGAGAATAAGAAAGACAATTCTGTCTAGCAAATCAAGGAGATAGTATCGAAAGTATGATTTAATTTAAACATTATACTGAACAGATCTTTAACAAGAGGCAAGAAAGTAATAGCACAAAATATATCATAAATTTATTATTGACAAAAGGTAGTTTACATTTTGCATGAGTCATATCATTAAACGTACGTAAATTTGATACAAGCAGTAAAATATTTATAATAGTATTAGATTATAATAATTATAATCTATATCAAAAGACAATAAATGTATAGTGATGATGAAGTGTATTGTATGTGTACAAATTAATTGTATTGCTATAGATGGAGAAATTGTATATGTTGTAGAGAATGCGATTAGAAATTAAATGTGACAAAATATTTGTGTATGTACATATGATGTACGTACAGAGACACTCAATAGAAATGAAAATTACTTTTGTTGCAGCGATCTACAGGCTGAAACCAGATTTTCTTTTTCAAGGAAAAATATTTTTTTAAATTGTTGAATATGTTTCAAGCAGTTAACATGTTTCAATGATATTTGAATAATAAATTATGGAGAGATTTATTGAATGAATATATCAAACATAATGTTCTAGATGAATCCACCTTGTGAAAAAATTATTTAGAAGGCTAAATTATATATTTGGCTAAATTTGATATTCAAGTGAATATTGATTGAGAGCTTTGGATTTTTGTTGATTTGACTTTGACTTAGGAAGCTTGGTCAGATTGAAAGAATGCAGTCATATTTATTAATCAATAAGCAATTGCCTGAAATAAATCACGCAACTATATATTTATAGATTCGCCAATACAACAGTAACTCTCTTTTTTATGAAGTGCACTACTGATGATTGTGTCTTTTTATTATTTTTTAATTTATTATGCTTGTATTCAATTGATATTTACAATTTTCTGTTCTGCTATATATGTAAATGAATTCAAATAATTTATTGATAAGAAATTAATTTGTATCTAACGATGAGAAAATCAAAGTTCACCGAATATCTTTGGAACTGAATTTATTTTGCAAGCAAACTGCACTTTCTAACGACAAACTTTGAAGGAAATAGATTCTATTGACATATGACACGTTTCCTGTTTTCCGTCCTCTGCCCCTCCTTAACATTGATCTGCGCGTGGTTAACTGATCAGTCGCGACCTTGTCAGATGCATCTATAGATTTAAACTTTTCTTTCAGAATAAATTTCTCAATTCCCGTCATGTAAATCGCAATATATCTTTTCCAATCTACATCACGATTTAATTTCACAATCTCACTGTCTTTCAACGTCTTCACATCAATCATCATCTTCCTAACGTTATCTCTATGGAAGGTCCATTCGTTCGTAATAAAATATTGCGCATGTGCCATTAGTTCATTAAAACGTTTACTACCTTTAATCATTCTGAAATGTCACATTTAAATGTTATTATTATATAGGGACATAAATTATTGTGAGAAAAACTGTTTCAGTACGCGACTACTCGTTGTTCGACAAACAATCAAATACTCACACTGGTT